GATCCAACCCAGGGCTGCCCCAACGGCACTCTGCATGGGGCCAAGCTTCAGCCAGGGTAGCCCACACTGCACTCCTGCTCATACCCATCAGCCCCAGTCAAAGCATACAACTTCCCAGTGGGACTGCTCCTAGTGCAGCTGCAGCCACCTGAGTTCTGCTCAGCTCCCCTCACCTCCGGCACCTCTGGGCAGGGAGGAAGCTGCAGCTGGGTGACTTCTCCCCTACAGTGCAGGACTCCAGCTCCACCTCCCAGCCAGCTTCCACCCACTCTTCCTGCCCTGAGACAGAGGTAGAAAAACAGATCCCAGGCAGCTGCAGCCACACCGGGAAAAGCCCTATGAGAAAGCTGTGCACGCTGGTTGGGGCCAGCAGTTTCAGGCAAGAGCATGGCATGAGCTGCCCCAGGTAGGAGCAGGTGGACTCGTCCCCATGCAGAGCACCATGGTGGCAGCCATGGGCCAGATGGGGGGGTGGTGCAGACTGTGCCTTCACCACCTGTGCAAGCTCTGCTCTCCCTGCCCCAACCCTGGCCAGCTACCTGAACCTTGCAAGCAGGCAGCCTCCCACACACATGCACAGCCCCCCACCCCGCACATGAACATCCCACACACCTCCATACCCCCCCACACAGTCTACTTCTCACACCCACCCCACAATATACAAGAGTAAGAATTTATTTTGAGCTATTATGTTTATATATGCTACTCAATAAAACATAAATCAAGTCAAAAATATTTTTTGAAATAAAATTAAAATGTATTATAGTAGATGTTTGATTTTTAGTATATGATTTATTTTTTATCTATAATTTTTAAAATGATATCTTCTGAAAGGTTTTATGTGTGTGGCCTTCAACAGGTCACCAAAACTCATTAAGCCAAAAGATTAATTTTGGTGAGCTCCAGCCAAAATAACTGCCCACCCCTGAACTATAACTATGAGTTACCACTGCAGGGTTGGTAATCAAGGATGGGCTTCTATCCCTGCCCTAGGTTGGGGGTTGTGAGAGAGGGGAGGGAGGTGGGAACATGAGGCAGAGAGGTGGAGAGTTAATGGAACAGGAGTGCGTAATTAAATGGGAGGTGGAAAGGAAATGGGGGTGAAGGAAGAGTGGTGAAATGAAGGACATCAGCTACTAGGGGATAAAATAAGAAGAAGTAAAAAAATAATTTAAAAAGAAATAAAGGGGGCATAAATTAAAGCTAGTCTCATGTTTTAATGATTTAGGATTTGGAACTGGGGTGTGGGGGGTGCTGATCATGCTTCCCACAGTGGCTGGGAGGTAGGAGCAGTTAGAGAAGGTGCTTCTGTGGGGGCTACTGCCACTGCCCTGGGAATGAAACCCCAGCTCATGGGGACCTGATCCAGCCCCCTACCCACCTCCTGGACCTGTCTATGCCCATGTGCCTGGTTAGCTGCCATGTGCTCTACAGGCTGTTTACATGCGGATGCACCCCTGGGGGTGGGAAGGTCACAACCCCAGGGATGAGAGGAGAAATTGGCTTGGTGCCAAAACTGTCCCCTGGCCCATAGAGTTCAAGGAGTGAAAAGTTTCTCCACCCAGAACAAGAGGGTGAGGGAGGGGACACTGCATCCTGGGAAGCTAGAGGACTGCAACATGGATGGTTCATCTGTGGGGAGTGGCCACACGTTAAGGGAACATAAGCTAGGTAGCATGGATCAGAGGTAAACCTGCCCTGGAGTGGCATAACTTTAAGATGCTTAAAGTGTGCTTAAAACTAGTTTGGGTGTTATTGGCTAGGGACAGACATTACACATAAACGAGTTTAAGTGATCAGAAACTGGTTTAAACCTGTAACACAACAGAAATTCAGTGCACATAAACCAGTTTGAAAATGGCTGAATCCAGTTTGAGATAAACCTGCTTGAATGTAGTATCAGACTTAACTGATTTGGGTCAAACCAGTTTATCCAATGTCTGTCCCAAACCCCTTCCTGGTTTAAGTTAAATCAGAGTCCCCCAGCATCTTGGCATGCTCTCTGGGCTGGGTGGGGCTCTCTGCTCCAGAGAGCTGTGCTGGCCCCTCCCCTCTGCTCCCTCACTGGAGCTCCAGCAGAGACTTGCAGGCATAACAGGGTATGCCTGGCTTTCCATGTCCCTCCTCCCCTGCTCCTTGCTGCTCGCTGTTCTCTGCTCAAGCAGGGATCTTCCCTCTGTTCCTCCCTCCCACAGCACAGATGTAGCCAGGATGTAGTATGCTAGCAATGCTGAGAGATGTCTGTATAAAGCAGACAAGAAAAAGGCAAATGGAACAGTGTTGGTTGGCTTTTTGAAGCTAATCAACAGTTAGCTGGTAATGTCCCTCCATTCCTTCCTTGGAAAAAGTTGTTTAAGAGCTTGAACTAATGAGAGAGGCTTTGTTTTCTGATGGGGTGCTAAATGCTGATAGCAGAGCTGATAAATGCTCTGTTATCAAGGGGGGGGGGCGGTAACCCCTCCCTAATCAGAGAGTCCTGCTGGGGCCTGGCCATGCCCCCCAACCTCAGCTCAGGACTGTGGAATGGAAGGGAGGGCTGTGCTAGTGCCCCCCCTGGCTTCTGGCCTGAGCCACTGCCGGCATGTGCCTGCATTTTTTCAGTCCAGAGGGGATGTCTGCACAATTACAAACTGGTTCAGCCTAGCCAGGTTAGACTAAACTGCAAATATTGAATCAAGTCAGGCTCAGGATTTTTGAATGTCTGTCCCTAGCCAGTGTGTGTACAATCCATGGGTTAAAAGCTCCAGGAACTGCCTAAAATTAATGTGCATCAAGGCTGCAAAAGAATTCAAGATAAAACTTTTTTTCCTAAATGCACACATGTGTATATGAGCATGCATACATGCATACAGGCATATTTGTGTGTGTGTATGCATGTACACACATACACATGCATACACATACATACATGCTCCCATAACATTCTGGGAAAGGAAATGTTGAAACACTTCAAAACAAAACAAATTTCCTGCTGGCATTCTCATTTACCAAGCATTTGAGTAAATTGGTTTTTTTTAAGAAAATATCATTTCCATGCCACTTAATCATTATTGTTCTAAACAATGTTTTTCTTTAGAAAATTCACCACTTTTTGACACAAACTTTTATTGATTTATGAACATGACAATCCACGAACTAGTAATATTGCAGGGTATGTTGATTATGCCAAGCTTAATGTTACCATATCAGAACTTCTTCAATGCAAATGAAGTCTAGAAGAATTTATCTTCTTCAGTATGAGTGAAGCCAAGGACATAATAAACAAAGGATTTTTTTAATCTATATGAAAAATAAGTTGTTCACTGGAAAACAGATTGGCTAAAATATTGTTCTTATCTAGTTTATTTATCATTTATTATTTATATAGAATCATTTTTCTTTTAATTTCAGAAAGCTGTTTGCTAAATGGGACAAAATGTAGGGTTTTCAGGAAAACACTGACTCCCACTGCATTTTAACTCTGAATAGTCATATCTCTGTGCTAGCACAGTGCCTACTGACTATATGTCTCAATCCTACAAATAAATATGGGTTTCATTTTACTTTACTAAAACTATTGTTGGGCCTGATCCCAAAACCCATTGAAGGCAATGGAAACTTTTTCCTTCATTTCCATGAACTATGAATCAAGCTCTAGGTACATATGAAGTAGGGCTGTGTGAAACAGCACTGTTCCGCTTTGACTTCTGTTTCAACGGAATAGTGTTTCATTTTCAGTTTCATTTCATTTTGAAAGCACTGTTCCATTTCGTTTCTTCAAAACTGTTCCACTGTTTGAATGCTGTTTCAACATTTCACCCATAGGCTATTTCACACCCAGCACTGGGAAGATTGGTGGTGTCGCTGGCCCCAGCTAGCTGCACCAGCCTCCTGTCATCCAGCAGTACAGCCCCCACAGACCTCCTGGGGGTGTGGGCAAGCCCCTGATCTGCCTGCTGGAGGAGGCTGGTGCTGCTGCCTGGGGCCAGCGGCAGCCAGGGCCATCCCTGGGGGGGATGAATTGGGGTGACTGCCCCTGGCCCCACGCTCTGGGGGGCCCCACGGTGCTGGGTGGACTGGCCGTGGTGACTCTGCACCACCGCTGCCGGCTTTGCATCCGGCAGCTCACTACCCCTCTCTCCCCCACTGCCAGTGGCACCACTGATGGTAATGGCAGCTTCTTCACATCCAGAGCATGCGGGACCAGGGTGGGTCTCCACATGAGCTGATTTGCCCCGGGCCCCACACCAGAGCCAACCTGAGGAGAGTGTGGGGCCCGGGGCAAATCAGCTCATACAGGGACCTGCCCCTACCCCAATCCCACGCACCCAGGATGTGAAAAAGCTGCTGCCACTGATGCCAGCAGCAGGGGGCAAGCAGGGGTAGCAAGTGGCCTGACACAAAGCTGGCAGTGGCAGCACAGAGTCACCACAGCCACTGCACCTGGCACCACAGGGCCCCGCAAAGCACGGGGCCCAGAGCAGTTGTCCTGATTTGCACCCCCCGGGAAAAATTCCGCACAGCAGTAATATGAAGTCAGTGAACTATTTACAATTTTGGGACTGTAAATCCTTTCAGAAAGCAACTTTTTAGTCCTACTGTAACATCTGAAAGAGGACTGCTGAAAGAGGATGCAAAAATTCAAATCCAGATGTGTATTTTAAATGTCGCAAATTTTAGAGTGCTTAGGTTTCTTTTGCCTGAGTCCCATATTTAACATATTTTTAATGAGTGCTGGACAATAATTAGGACTACAAGTTTCTGTCTAACTTGACCACATTTATCCGTAGCAGATTCACAGCATCTGTCTTGTACAATTTCCACGTACAGGGTTTCCTTGTACCTGGCTCCAACTATGGAAACCTTTTCAGTTTTCATATTAGTGTTTTTTCTCTGAGTGCTTCTTGCTGAAACTGTACTGCACGCAGCTCCAGAACAACGGGGCTTTATAAATCAATAGATGATAACAAGAGGAAAACACACATAAAAACATGTATTTAGTCAAATAAAAAACAGAATCTTAAGTATTTTATTACTTAGAATTCTAAGGATCATCTTGTTCTAGTCTGAAACAGCATGTCTTCAAGTGCATTTTTGTTTCTTCTGAAAAAAATAAATTAATAGAATATAATAGTGAGTCCTTCAAAATCCTAGACACCAATTTCTTTTTTTAAAATGACATATTTTATGTAAGTGAAAGGCTTTGTAAATTCCGAAGTCAAAATCACATTTTATGTCAGCAAGAGGTTAGAAAGGAAGCAGTAGGGACAGCAACGTTTTGAAAAGCATTTCACGTGCCATCAAGTTCTACTATGTCACAGTATCTCATGCTATCTCTCTCAAGTGAACAGCAGGTGTGATGTGCCTTTTACTTCAATTACATGCATGCACAGAATGTTATATAAGTGTCGCTGACTTTATGTATAAACATTTACCATTGTGTTCTGTTCTATTCTTCTGTTCAGCTAAAAGATAGATGAAGCCTCTTTTGTCATTTAACAGGTCCTAATCTGACATGGAAGTATTTTTCCTCAGTATGAAATGTCTGCTGCTCATGTTGCATGTTGCTTCTTATCTTTGAAGATCTGACCTTGTGTTTTAGAAATATAAAAAGGTGTCACTTTAAAGGTATGATAGATTTGGAGCCTGGTATTTCTAAAATTCATATAGGATTTCCAAAAGCCACATAATTTTTTCTGAAGGTTTTGCACTGAAAATGATTAGAATTAAATAAATGAAATAAAAATAAGCCTTTGAAATATAGCACATTCTATATTCGAAGGCTTGCCTAAATATACCCCAACCATGCACGTGGATTAATAACAGATATTACCCACAAAAATACTTGCTTCTCACATATTTCATGAATCACTGTGGCTACAATATCACTTCAGCACTACCACATAGATTAAATTATACCTGCCTATAGAGTAATGAGGACTGACACTTTCCATCAAACAAGAGGGCAGATGGCAAGTTATTTCCCCCAAATAATAACTTCATTCCTGGAGTGGGCTTCACCTAATTAATTTCAAAATACAGAAATTATCCCTGTGGTATATTGGCATAATAATTCCCCTTTCTGCCCAAACCATACCTCATATTAGAGTGCCATGATCTGAAATGTCTTTCCATGTTCTTAGAAATATTACTACATTAAAGGCTATGTCATACAGGACACTTAGTACATATTAAATGCATTTAAAACACAAGTGTTCACATGTACAAGCAGTAAAAAACATGCTAAGTGCACTTGTATCATCGAAAATTTACAACTTTTCCTGCAAGAAGTATCTCCAGATAGTAGTAAGTAATGTGCATTCAGCTAATGTTAGTCTGTTCCATGGAGATAATGGCAGCAATTTGTTACAAACCATTATGATTTGTGTAATCTGAGGTATGGTGAGGGAGGCACACGATAGGTATGTGGGTCCCATTGAAGGCCCACACACAGTTTAGGAAGCCAATTTATTTGAACCCAGCAATGACGCCCTGTGGGTTCCTGAGCCAAATGAACTACGGCCCCAGCCCCTCAACTAAGGCATCTCACAGTTTATGCACAGCTATCAGCACCATTGTCCAATCCAAAACAAACTGGTTGGTGATAGAACGGAGGCTGTTGGCATTCACCAACTTCCAAATTGCTAGGGCCATGCATCTCTTGATGAACACAGAGTGCCAAAGCCCAATATCACTGTGCTACAGCAGTGGGGCCACCTCAGCACAAAGGTCCACAAATATGCCATAGGACACTCTAAAGTTTCACCACCATTGGTCATTGTGAAGAGAGAAGTGGCAGGCACAGAGGAGGTTCCAGGGATCACAATCACCCCACACTTACCTCAGGTGTGAGAAGGAAGAACACAGCTGGAGCCTGGAGCACCTTGCCACATTTTCACAGCGAGTGCTCCATCAGGATTGGTGGTGAGGGACCCTGGAATGTAGTTCTGGCCCTGAAGAGGGGCAGCCAGGGAGAGACTGCAGTGTCCTATCAGGGAAGATCATAGACATTAAAGGCTGGAAGGGACCTTGAAAGATCATTGAGTCCAATCCCCTGTTCTGGGCAGGAATACTGCCGAGATCAAACGATCCCACAAGGTGTCAGTCCAGTTTCCTCTTGAACATTTCCAAGGTTGGGGACTGCACCACCTTCTTGGGAAGTCTATTCCAGACTCTAGTCACCCTTATTGTAAAGAAGTTCTTTCTTACATCCAACCTGAAACCATCCTCTAACAGTTTATGGCCACTGATCCTTGTCCTCCCCTAGGGCCCCCTACTGAACAGTTTTTCTCCCAGCTCCCAACATTCATCCCTTACACATTTATAGACAGCCACTAAGTCCCCCCTCAGTCTTCTCTTTCCCAGGCTGAACAGTCAAGATGCCAGAGGCATCTCCTGCCTGCACCAGCCTGCAATTAGCTGTGGCAAAGGGGCACACAGCAACTGTCACAAGTGGTCAAAGGACCACCAACAAGCCGGGGATCATTGACTGAATGCTGGATTGAAGCCCAGGCAGAAGTAGGTGCTTGAGGAGGTGGGTGGTATGCAGCAAGGGATCCTGGGCCTTCCATGAGTGGGGAAATAGAGCCAGCTGGTATGAGAGTTGTCTTAGATTTATTTTCCATTTGGGGACTGGTAAAAATGAATTGATGAAGGGGGATCAACCCTGACTGTATGTGCAGACTTAAATGGATTGTCACTTTTTGGACTGCTAAATGACTTGATAGAGGTGGATGAAGGAATGCATGAACTTAAGTTAATTTTTCCATTTGAGAATGCTAAGGAATTTGATACAGGGGATCAACTCTAAATGAAGGAAGGGACTTAACCTAAAGCATCCTCTGAGACAGTCAAGGAAGTAAGTAAATTGATTTAAGTTGATTTATGTTTGAAAGCTGTTAGTGAGCTATTGGAAGGGGATGAACCCTGAATGAGCAGCAGACCAAAATAGGATTAACCCACAGATTGACTTCTACTGAATTGATTAGAAGGTCCTGACCAGGACCCTGGCAGCATAGAAGGACCACCATACTTGTGACAAGGGGCCGTGGCTCAAAATAAGAATGTGGATAACATCTAGGATGTGGTAAGGGTGTGGTGTGAGGAAAGACAGAGCTCCATGAAGAAATTCCTCCTAGGGACAGGCCCAGACTATCAGGCAACAGAACCAACTTTAAAAAAAAGATCAAAGATGTGGCAGGAAAGAAAGCTAACACCGGAGAGCGGCTGTGATCGTTTCAATCCCCATCCTGACATTTTCTTCCATTAAGACATCAGGCCAGAAAGGGCTTAGCCCATGCAGCACCTACCCCCAACAGTCATGATCCCATGTTCCAAGCATGAGCTGCTCGAACCAGTCTGAGTTCATCAGTATTGTCCTGTAACATGAGGTGGCGTCCGGTCTGGCGGCTCGTGCAGTGGTGTGTTCTGCCTCCTGCAGCATAATGGTGTTCAAATTAGTGCCCTACCAGGACCAGGAGCTCACTAGAACAGTTGGTCAAGGCAATATTGGAATCCTCATTCTCACCTCACCTTAGCCAATCAGCGTTTTCATCTGTGGTAGGTTGTTTTTGGCTGATGTCAGAACCATGGAGAAAAGTTTCTCAAGCAAAGTGCTGGGCAGCCTCCTCACTGACACTCTAGCATGAGCTGTGCATGTAGAGTTTGTAGTAAACATTACTGTGGACTGCTGAGAACATGTTCTAACTTTAATACTGCATAACATTCCACAGATTAAACACATACCAAGCATCCTGTGCAACGAGGCACAGAGAAAGACCTCGAGCATAGTTTTGTTTGAGGGGATAAACAAAATTCACCACCAATGTTCTTCGATTTGATCAAAATGCTGCAGTGCCTGCAATTAGTATCATCCATTTTACAAGCTCTTTTCTGTCTTCCCTTAGAATCAACGTGGACTTTTAAGGTTCTTTCCCTCACAAACTCTTTAATGATAGCTAACTAGCAGAGCTTTCAGATTTTATCTTGCCATATGTTTCAAGTTGCTCACTTATGCCTGCATCTGCTGAATATCTGCTATAGTAGGGCCACAATATTGACTCAAAACAATTGGGACTACAGCCTTCATAATAAGTATTCTCTACATCTGTGGAATCAGTTCGCTTTAAAATCTGTATCTGCTCTTATTTTTCAATCTGGCTCAAAGTCATAAATTTATTGTGACATTTGTTCAGTTTGAATAAAAAGTGAAAGCAGACTTTTGTGGTGGTATGATATGAACACACACTGTATTGCATAAATTAATAACAGTGGGTGCATCTACACATGCATCAAGGTGCTTTTTCTAATGCACATTAAATTTAGTACCTCCAATGTAAGGCACTAAAGAAACAGTCATTAGGCTGCCTTAATGTGCAGTAATGAATGCATACAGCTAAGTGATGCTTAATGCGCAGTAGCCTATTTTACTGTGCATTAGCATAATTGCACAGTTTTTTATATGATGCTTTAATACACAGTAAAATAGGCTACTAAACATTAAAGCACATGTGTAGACACTCCCAGTATTTATTTTTCTGACTTTGCCATCAGAAATATGCAATGTTTACAACCTGACTTTCAATATATTTTGCAAGGTTCTCCAAAATATAAGAATGTATTAATTGAAAAGCCCTATTAGGAACACAAAGGTTCCCCTCTCTTTCTACACTGTTTACAGTGAATGCTCTTCACAAATTTTATATACTGTTGTCTTATTTTTCTTTGCAATATGGAGTGACTAAAAAAGTAATCTACTGGCAAACTACCTGTACTCATTTTACCTATACATTTTTTAAAAGGTTCTGATGTTTTCAAAGAGCTTATCATTTCAATCCTGGAAATCCTGCTATGCACTAGACATATGCAGACATCTGCAAATTGTCAGATCTGGCATGACTATAAAGAAATTACATATAACAACAAAGACAACTTAGGGACTTCTGTAGGAACTTGGTCTCCTTTTATGGAACTATATGACCAATCAAATGCATTTGGGGATATGAATATGATATACATCTTTACTTATTTCAATACCATTACAGAAAGCCTTGTAGGTATTTTGTACCATTTCTATTATAAATACAGTGCCATAAATGGGCATAGTATTTCACAGTGAAGTGAAAAAATAAAGAGGACAGCATTTCTGCTTTAAAGAGCCTAGGGCCAGATTTTGTAAAGGTATTAAGGTACCCAGCTCCCAGTTGAATTTATACACATAAATACCTTTGAAAATCTGACCCTTGCATTCTAAGGCTGGAATCTGCAAATATACATGATTAACTGTAAGCATTTGAGAATTGTTACATGCCTAAACTAACCATGTGCATAAATGTGTCCCGAATGATGCCTAAATAAAGACTTTTTTTAAAAGGGAAGTCAGGGCAGAAGAGGACAAACACCATAAGACCTTAATGTTGCTTTAATGATTAATTTCAGGTCAGGTCATGATTGAAAACCTGCTACTGCTATGACAATAAGCTATACAACCTGTGCTGGTCAATGCCAAGTGCTGGGTGGTGGTTAATTAACCTGGCAACCTCAGGAAGTGCCAATGGCTTCAGACAGATGAACACTGAGGAAGGGTAGTGGAACCCTTGATGGAGGAAATGCCATCAAAAGGCAGATGAGCAAATCACTTAGTGATTTTGCCAACAGCATCCACATAGAGCAGATTGGGCTCTTCAGCCATGGCTGGCAACCAGTCTAGGAGTAGAGCCCCAAAAGGCAGACAGATGGAAGACCTCCTCTGCACTGGCAATACCTGCAGCATAGCTGGTTCCAAAGTATTGACCTCTGCCCTTTCTATGGAACAAACCAGTGTAGCTGAGAGGAGGATGTTGACACTTGGGCAAAGCAAAGTCAACTGCCCAGGCTATTGCAGCCACACCATACAGCGAGGACACTCCATCCTTGCTGGCAGCATGGACACAACACAGAAGGTGGAAGTTAAGGGTTATAAGCCCTCACTTGATTTGTGTAGAAGAGGATGCCATGGGTTGCCTTTGACAGCAGGAAGAATCATCGCTTTCCACTGGTCAACTACTGCATGCCTAAATTCTGGACAGCCCCCAGAAAGTTAGGTGCTGACCCTCCACAGTCTGTTTGCCTCATTGGATGCATGAGGCTAGGCCAAAAGCCAAAAAGCAGATGGAAACCTTGCACCTGGAAAAAATGAGAAGCAAAGAATTTTTTGGTGTAAGGAAGTGGATGGTGTGCCGCCTAGAGCCACGTTAGCTCCCAATTGAAGTGATAGTGTCCTGTCATTGGAAAAATCACCTGCCACTCTTTTTGATGTTATGGGAGATATATCTGGACACCCTTGGGAGACACTAGGAGTTCATCCTAGGCTCAGGAAGCTGGTTGCTCTTCGCAGGGCTCCACCATCCACGTACCCTTCCCTCACCACATGTGGTGTTCCTGTTCCAGGAGTTGTTACCTGCCTCTGAGGCCAATATTTCTGCCTTCGTCTGAAAGACGCTCAACTAAAGTCTTTGGTTTAGTGGCCACTTGCCCCATTCTTCCCCACACAGGTCTCAAAACAGCTATCCCTCACTTCAGGTCCCTTGTTTCCCTCCTGAGACTGGGACTGACTTTCTCCTGTCCACTTCCCTCTCGAGGAGTAATTTCATCTCTACGTTCTCCTTCTTCTAGGTTCCCGGAGTGGTTCTCTTCACCCCCCAGCACTTGTTTCCTTGGCCGAATTGCCTCCTCAGTCCTCCCACCAATCCTCTTCACCAGATCAAATCCCTCCTTGGTTCCTACCAGGTAAGTTGGGAAACTGGAGTTCTCTGGGCTCCTACCTGGCTCCAGGTCGGTCCTTCCTCTTTGTTTGTTCCTGGCTCTCCTCTCCTTCTCTTTGCTGCTCCTGTGCTTTCTCTCCCCTGTCCTGGCCACCTCCTCGACATCCCTTAAACCCTCTTTTCCCCAGCTGTGTCCACTGTGGCAGCCTCCTATTCGTTGTCCCTCTGACCCAGCTGTTTCTTCTTTTCCTCTCCGGCATGGCTTTTTCTTTTCCCTTGATCATGCCATTCTCCTCTTCCCAGGTTTGAACCCCGGTGGTTGGGTTTGCCGCAGCAGCCTTTGGTTCCTCTGATCTCTCGAAGCATGGCACCTTTCTTGTCCAGGCTCACCATCGGCTCCCTTTCTTCTCAGGGTAAATTTGTTCTTTTCGTTTCATCCCATGGCAGGGTGTTTCAGGCACCCTGTCTCATCCAGCTTGGAAGATGGAATGTCAGGACCATGTGTCCTGGCCTGACAGACAATGACAACCTACAGTACATGAGCAGCATACAGAAGTCAGTCTTGATTGACCGTGAGCTGTACAAACTCAATGTTGAAATTACAACACTCCAGGAAACAAGACTTGCAGATGCTGGTTCTATCCAAGAGGCCAGTTATACCTTCTTTTGGCAAAGTAAAAACACAAAAGAAAATCATCTGCACAGTGTTGGCTTTGCTGTGAGGAATAAAGTGGTAACACTTATACAAGCCCCCATTGGGAAGTTGGAGCACATCATCTTACTTGGACATCAAACAACCATCAGCTTTGAGAACATTGTCAGTGCTTATGTGCCAATACTCAACTCCAGCCCTGAGGAGAAGGCTAAATTTTACAACACTGCACCAAGTTGTCAAAGGAGTACCATCACATGAGTGACTATTCCTTCTTGGAGACTTCAATGCAAGAGTCAGTGCAGACAACAACTCATGGCCAGATTACTTACGACATTTTGGCATTGGCCACATGAATGGATACAGCCAACAACTTCTTGAATTCTGCACTCAAAGCTGATTGTGCATTAGGAATTCATATTTCACTGGAAAAGATCACCACAATGTATCATGGTGACATCCATGATCAGGCCACTGGTACCAACCAGACTTTGTTATTGTCAGGAGGAAAGATCTACCTTCAGTGAAGAAGACTCTCACGTTCCACAGTGCCAGTCATGAATGACTGGTGCCTCCCATGACTGGGAAGACACTATGGTGACAAACAGAGACTGCCCATAGCCACAGTGTCGGTGGTGGGGGGGTGGGCTGGTGAGCAGCAGGCAAAGACAGGTGAGCAGGGACCACCCACAGCCGCCAGCATCCACATCAGTGGCAAGGGGGAGGCGGTGACCACCCACAGAAGCTGCCAGCAGCTTTGCCAGTGGCCAATCTCGGGGGGGGGGGAACATGCCCCCCTGTGCCCCCCTTATGCATCAGCTATGGTTCCGATTATGACACTGACTACTCCCTGATTATTAGCAAACTGATTACAGCCAAGAAACTACATAGAGCAAAACCTAGGAGAAAGTCCAAGATCAATACCACTAATACCAAAAACCAGAGGAAGTGCCAAGAGTTTGATAAGGCTTTTGAACTAAGCATGTTTGGGAAGTCAGTACCAGAGAAGGCAGAGGAAATTTGGGAAGGTTAAAGAACTGCAAGCT